ATGAAATCTTGTAAGATCTTATAGAAAATTCATAAGAATTGATAAGATCTTCTGAAATCTTTTGATTTCTTATTATACGATCACCCAAGATCGTATATGATCTTGTAAGATCTTCCAAGATCTTGTTATCTAATCCTTGGACCTGGGTAGTGAAGCTCCTCAGAAAACGCATTGGTAACATTGACGTATGGTATAAAAATGATTGCAGTATAATATTAAAAGGATATTTCTTCATACCTCCACTCACTTTTATAATATAAGACGCAAAAGCTAGCAATATCTCACTATGTACACTATGTACATGGAGTTCTATACGAGTTATACTTAAATTTAGAGTGATTTTTACAAAGGATGTCCAAACTGATGTTTTAGTGTATCTGCTATAGTGAGTGACATCGATACAGTGCAGTGCGCTCAACTGAAATTCAATGGATAAAATTTTTAAAATTCAGACAGAAATGATTAAAGATTTTATTTGCAACTGAGAAGTGTTTCGATCCATGAGCGATCACAGATATTCGCTGAGGGTATCACACTACGTACCAAAAATATAGTTGTCAAGTAGCCGAATAACTCTGGGCCTCATGCATCGAAAAATTTCTCTGCTGCGAATAAAATCTTTAATCGTTTCTGTCTAAATTTCAAAATTTCATCCACTGAATTTCAGTTTCAGCGCACTGAAGTTTGAAGTACATCAGTGTGACTATAGCAGAGACATTGAAACACCACAGACCAAAATATCGTTTGGAACATCGAAAAACAACAGTCCAATTTTTCCCTTTCTATTGGGCCTAAAGAACGTTAGATTTTATTTGGATCCAAAATTTGAAAGTTTATTTCAATACTTTTGTTTCATAGAGCTTAAAAACAGGGTTGCCCTGTGTAACAAGTCCAATGTGAGATAGATTCATTTAAAATGACAGACATGTGAGAGACATCACTAATATCTCTCATCCTGTGTTTTTAAGAAAGTTTTCCAAGTAGGAGTACTCATGGGAACGAATTTTTACGATGGATAAATCTTAATAAGGGACTGTCATTCGCGTGGAAGTACATTTGACAACCCTGCTTAAAAAGTAGTATGTTTGGAAGCCTACAACTCGAAAGACTTGTTGGACTCATGGAAAAGACAAACATAGACATATTTTTGTGACTGCAATAGTTTGCTAAAAGTCAAGCACATATACACACTTTTTATATGATCAAATGGAAACTTAAAGTTTGCTTGCTTTAATGATGCAAGAGGTCTAGACTCTCAGAGAGTTCCTATCCTCTACTCTCACTTAGAAACAATATATAACGCTTTTCCATCCTGAACACGACACACCACAGATGCAAAATCTAGTAGCTTTCGTAGTACTAGTCGAGTATTTAAGGTGAAAATATCTCAGAAAATTTATGCTTTAATGTGCAGTTTTCGAGAGAGAAGCTCCTAACGTTAAAGGTAGGTCTGAATGTTAAGTCTAACCTCTGGCGTGACAGAAATTACTGAAGTTTGTTAGGGCGGCGGAAAATGTGTAATATTGTATCCTCTTTCTAACCAGAATTATGGCGAAGTTTGAGGCAACTTCAGAATTTGGGATTGTGGCTTCCCAAAAAGCTATAATTTACAACCATTAACCTGCGATAGATCATGCTCTATACGACTTTTTAAGAAATAGTTGAGGACTTTTACATACTTTTAGTAACACTACATGTTGCTTATAGTCTAATCTTGTTCAGTTGTATATAAAGTAAACGAACCTGTTTAGACGTACGCTAGAGGAATTTGATTGATGTATTCAATATCGACATCCGGTGATTTATTTAATCAGTATTTTTGATAGTATTTTCATCAAAAACCCATTTATGGCAGGAGAACGATATTGTTAAGCAGCTTACCACAAGGTTCTTTGAATTACTGGGACTTTATCGATTTAGAGAAATACATGCGCTAAACAGTCATTTGGTTATTTAATATCAAACTTAACTTTTCTTGATGATCCATTATAGAAGCCATGAAATATTTGTTGATAAATTTATTTTTATTCAAAGAAATTCGGCAAGGAAACGTAAAATTCGGGAGAGAGAACGAAATTGTAGTATTGGACAGATATGTCTTTGGTGGGAAAACTATTCAGCTCAGAATAACGATGTTTAAGATATTATTAAAATCGGCAAAAGTTGCTACGATTTTAGTGTACATTTTTTTTCAGATGTTTACTTGCAGAAATCAATGACACACAAGAAAACAACTGGTAGTAGAACTTATAGTGGTGGCGATAACGAGATGTTCCTTAAACGTGCTCTAGAAAAAATTTTAAGCGAAAAAGATATAAAACGTACTCAACATGCACAGTTGAAAAAAGCGTGTGAAACAGCATTATGTAAGTTCTTTTATTTTTTTATTGTTGAAACTATCATATTCATTGTATGTTGCATATTTTAGCTGAAGTTACAAAAGAAATTCAAAATACCCGGTAATTTAATAAAACTTCAAAATACAAGCAACCAAAGTGCGTGCTTTAATTCTAGTGTTAACGAATCTTCTGTTTTACCTTCGATAACAGTTCAACAATCAAATGTTAATGCTGAAAAATATTTTTTACCTTTCGAACTGGCATGTGCGTCAAATCATCCACGAATGGTGGAAACGTCACTCGATTGCCTCCAAGTAGAGACTAGCAAACATTACTATTCATGTTCTACTGGAAGCTTTACCATGTTTCATTTTAGAAACTTCTTTTACATGGTCATCTAATGGGAACGATACCAGATCCGATGGATGTATCAAAATTACTTATCGATCGGATTGTATCAACAATATGTTTGTGTTTTCGTGGTGTACAAACTGAAGAACAAGTCGAATTGCAAATTATCAAAGTAGGTAGAATACTGTATAACAATTATTGTTGTTCAGTATATCGTTTTATGTTTAATGGTTTGATATTTTTTAGGCATTATTAACAATCATGACATCTCAAACAATTGAAATTCATCAAAGAAGTGTTTTACAAATAATAAAAACGTGTTTTAATATATATTTGACCAGTAGAAGTAAAATAAACGAAGCCACAGCACAGGGAAGTTTATCTCAAATGTTAAATGGAATATTTTCAAAAATGGAACAAAAACTAGTAAATATTTTTCTTTGTTCAACGTTTAAAACATGTATTTAAACTATATTAATGCATTTAGTCTTTGTTGAATGAAAGGAGACGACAGTTGGATAGTCGATCAACATCTCAACAACGTCAACGACAAGAGCCACTAGATGATAATACCACTATATCTGATATATCATTATCAACAATGAAAACAAATGAAGAAGAAATTATCTCTGGTAACTTACTAAGCTTTTCATATTATATTTTGATACACAAAAGCTTCATTATCGAGCTTAATTATAAATAAAACTTATTTTATATTCTAGAATCCATTATAAATGAAGATGAAATACTTGTTAAAGACATTCTAGACGAGCTCGTAGAAAAAATATGCTATGGTAATTTTTATAATCTAATAAAGTTTTGTTTATGCTTAGCATTTTCTTTGCATTTAGATGAAGCTACACAGCAACAAAGAAGCACTAACTTAACAACAAATGAAATTATTGAAGAAGCTCATTCACTGCATGAAGATATTTTGACTACAATACCATCTACAACTGCTCTTTCTTATCGTATGAATGTTCTATTCACAATATTCATTTTCAAATGAAGTTGTTTTACAATTTAGAATCAAACGGCGAAACAGAAACCACCATATCCACTTCACTTTCATCCGATGAGTTGTCAGCTGATAATTACTTCAAAAATGCTTTTTATGTGTTTCGAGCTTTATGTAAACTATCTGATCGAGATATCAAGGATAAAACAAATACAGATCCCAGGTTATAATTAACGATATATTTTTTCTTTTAATAATAGGAATTATTTCGTTTTTAGAACAAATCTCGATTTAAAGTCGCGTATATTTTCATTACGCTTAATTATGCAAATATTACAAACATCTGGACCGACATTTCGTACATCCGAAGATTTTTTAAATGTAATTAAAACATATTTATGTGTATCATTATCAAGAAATGGTGTGTCAGCTATTCCGGAATTATTTGAAATGGCTTTATATAATTTTGTGGAATTACTCGATAAATTTAAACAACATTTAAAAGTTCAGATTGAAGTAAGTTCTTTTCTAATGTGATTCTAATGTGATCAATCTGTTATTCGTATTAATTGTAATTATTCAATAAGCTCCGATAAGTGCGTCAGTAGTATATCTGAAGAGCTTCTACACCTTTACAGTATACTGCCATACAGTACTCATTTCTCATCCTATATTTTTCATAAAATAGCTCCGATGATTGTAAAGTCTCTGCATTAGACAAATAATATTTTTAAATTCAAGATCTATCAGACTAAAACAACATGTAAGACCATTTTTGGAAATTTTACATTGAAAATAATTTCTTCGGCTCCTTCTTTTGTCTTTAACGCTTCTCTATGCATATGAAGAGTAAACTAATAGAGGAAGATTTTTCAGACGAATTGTCAGTGATTAGTCAATGTACTCATTCCTTATAGGTTTTGTTTCGTGAAATATTTTTGACCATATTAGAAACCACAACCAGTTCGTTTCGTCACAAATGGCTTGTAATTCAAACATTAGCAAAAATTTCTGCCGGTATAATATAAAGGAGTTGTTTTTCTTTTTATTTCATTTTAGAATCGTCTATTATTGTTTTAGATGCTCAAATTATTGTTGATCTATTTATTAATTATGATTGTTCAATGAGATCGGCAAATATATTTGAACGCTTGGTTATTGTTTTATCACGTGCTGCTCAAGGACGCCAAGCTGTTGAATTAGGTAATTTATTATTGTTGTCGTTGTTTTGAATTTGCAAAAAAAGGTATCAATTGTCTATGTTTAGGTTGCAGTCAAATTGAAGAACATAATCTTCGAATGAAAGGACTCGAATGTCTTGTATCTATTTTGAGATGTATGGTTGATTGGTCGAAAGATCTATATGTAAATCCACATTTACAAAGCAATCTTGGTAAAAAGAATTGAAACATCTTTTCATTATATATTCTTGAATATTTTATATTTCTAGGACCAGATACAAAACCACTGAATGAAAATGGAGATCATGATAGTGGTCGATCATCATCGGGTGTAGATGGTTCAATGAAACGTACGGATTCAGTTGGTTCTATCAATTCTTCACATTCAAATAGTGGACTTTCATCTGAATCATGGAAAAATCCTGGTGATTATGAAGCGGTTAGACAAAGAAAAGAATTATTTGAAAAAGGTTGTGATATGTAAGTTTTTACGATAACTATCATGGATTGATCGATCTAATTAAAACAAATTACTACTTTTCTCATTTAAGATTCAATCAAGATCCAAAAAAAGGTTTACAGTTTTTGATTGATAAAAATTTGGTTCATCAAGAAGCTGAAGATGTAGCACAATTTTTTCATTCCTATCAAGATGTTTTAGATAAAACAGTTATTGGCGATTTTTTAGGAGAAAGTACTAAGTATGATGTCTTGTGAGAAGAGATCAATTTTATTAAATATACTATTTATGTGTACATTTAGATATCATAAAGAAGGTATGTATGTCTATATTGAGCAATTGGATTTTAACAAAATGGACTTTTTAGCAGCATTAAGAAAATTTTTAGCCGGATTTCGTTTACCTGGAGAAGCACAAAAAATTGATCGTTTAATGGAAAAATTTGCTGCTCGTTATTGTGAATGTAATTCGAAGTACGATCATCATTCTAATTTTATATCTTGATAGAAATAGAATAAAGAAATATACTTTTTATATATTTAGTCTGGGAATATTTGCTAGTGCTGATGCGGCCTATGTACTTGCCTATTCAGTTATCATGTTAACAACCGATTTACATTCAAAAAATGTACATTCTTAGCTATACAAATATTTCCTTATATAAATTATTCTTTGGATAATTTTAGGTAAAGAAAAAAATGACGAAAGAACAATATATTAAAATGAATCGTGGCATTAATGAAAGTCGAGATTTACCTGAAGAATTTTTGTCAAAAATATATGATGAAATAGAAAACGAAGAAATAAAATTGAAAATAACAACAGCAGGATTACGACGTGGAGCGGGTGTAAGTGGTACGAGCGTCGGTATTAGTGGAAAACCGGAAAGTATTACAAGTGATAAACAACGTCAACTGTTATTTAATATTCAAATGAAAGATGTTGAAGTAATAGCACGTGATTTAATGTCAAATGCTGGAACCATTCGAGAATTATTTACAATAGCTAAACATCTTGAACATGTTCGACCAATGTTTCAAGTAATTTAAATTCTCTTCTTTTTTATTCAGTTTAATTAAATGGGGTATTGCTAAAAGACGCGAACACCCATGGACATCCATGAACATCCACGAACACCCCCAAATTAAAATCTGAGTTAACCAATCGACAGAGCTCGTCGAGCTGAGTATAGCAACACCTAACGAACACCCAAAAAAGTTTTTATAGTTTCGCTTTTTAAGTATATATTTTGAATGAACACCCACGAACACAAAGAAGAAAGGTAAGAACACGTAAAAATGTGTGCCAAATTTATTTTCCGATTGTTCTTTGGGTGTTCGTGGGTCAAAATGTATGCTTAAAAAGTGAAACTATAAAAAAAGTTTTGGATATTCATTAGGCGTTGCTATACTCAACTCGACGAGCTCTATCGATTGGCTAACTCAAATTTTAATTTGGAGATGTTCGCGTCTTTTAGCAATACCTAATTAAATGTTATGTCATTCTTTTTTGTTTTCTTTCTAGAAAGCTTGGTCACCATGTTTGGCTGCATTTAGTGTTGGATTACAAGATACAGATAATATTGATTTAGCAATGCTTTGTTTAACTGGTCTAAGTTATGCCATAAGAATAGCGTGTATATTTCGAATGGAACTTGAACGTAATGCATTTGTTCAAGCATTATCTCGTTTTACATTGTTAACAGCCACCTCTCAAGTAACAGAAATTAAAGCAAAAAATGTTGAATGTTTAAAAACATTAATTACTGTTGCACAAACAGATGGAAACTATCTTGGTGAAGCATGGTATGAGGTTCGTATTTACATTTCTTTTTTTAAAACGAATTATATAGAGTTTTATTTTTGTTTTTCAATTTATATTAGATTCTCAAATGTATTAGTCAACTTGAATTAGCACAGTTATTTGGTGTCAATGCTCAGAAATCACGTATGCCCGTTACTAATCATCATCATTATCCGTCCCAATTGTCTAATTCAACAGCCACATTTAATCTACCATTCGATAATCTATTTTATTCAGACAAAAGTAGACACATAGTTTGATTATGAATAATATAATAGAGACATTTTTTGTTTATATTTAGATCCTCATAATAAACGCCTACATCCTTTAAACGAACAAATTCAAGAAACAAGTTCACAAAGTATTGTTGTATCCGTTGATCGAATATTTTCCGGTTCAGCACGTTTAGATGGAGACGCAATTGGTATTAGAACAAAAAATATTTCTCCAAACTTATGTCTTTCTAATATGTTTTTGTTTTTTTTGTTAAGTTGCTTTTGTTCGAAGTCTATGTCACGTATCTATGGATGAATTATATTCATCAACACCACGAATGTTTAGTTTATTGAAAGTTGTAGAAATATCGTATTACAATATGGGACGAATTCGTTTACAATGGTCGAGAATTTGGGAAATTGTTGGAGAACATTTTAATAAAGTATTGTTTGCCTTTTTACTGTTGTTAATTACACATACATCTCTATTTTCATAGGTTGCTTGTAATCCATTACAAGATGTAGCATTCTTTGCTGTTGATTCATTACGACAATTGTCAATGAAATTTCTTGAAAAAGGCGAATTTCTAAATTTTCGATTTCAAAAAGAATTTTTAAAACCATTTGAACATATAATGAAAAAAAATTCGTATGTTTCTTGAAATTTAAACTAAATTTATATGACGTCTAAATTTTTTACTTTTCATTATTAGCTCATCAACAATACATGATATGGTTGTACGTTGTGTAACACATTTAGTAGATTCACAAGCAAAAAATATTAAATCTGGATGGAAAAACATATTTAGTGTATTTCAAATGGCAGCTGCTGATACAGATGCGAGTATTGTAGAATTAGCCTTTCAAACTTGTACACATATCATAAGTAAATTTTTAAAAGAGAATTTATCATAAAAATATTTAATTATATTCTCTTTTAGCCACGGTATTCGATCGTCATTTTGCTTCAGTTCTTGATAGTTTTCAAGATGCTGTTAAATGTTTATCAGAATTTGCATGCAATGCTTCGTTTCCTGATACATCAATGGAAGCAATACGTTTAATTAGACAATGTGCCAAATATGTTGCTGAAAAACCTCATGTTAGTTGTAGCACAGTGTAAAATCGGTATAAATAACGTTATAAATTGTATTTAGATGTTTAATGAACATGCTGGCGAAGATTTAATCAACGTTCCAGAAGAAGATCGTGTATGGGTTAAAGGATGGTTTCCTGTTCTATTTGAATTATCATGTATCATTAATCGATGTAAACTTGATGTACGAACGAGGTATAGATTGACTGAGAAATAAATGATGATCGAAAAGTAAGATTTTTTTTTTTCTCCTTCTATGCAGAGCTTTGACAGTGATGTTTGAAATAATGAAATATTATGGCGAAACTTTCACTCAAAACTGGTGGAAAGAGTTGTTTAACGTTGTATTTCGAATATTTGATAATATGAAATTACCTGACACTCAAATTGAAGTAAGTAAAACATTTTACTCTAAAATTATCTCAACTAATTTCTCTTTATAGAAAATTGAATGGATGACAACAACTTGTAATCATGCATTATATGCCATTGTTGATGTATTTACACAATTCTTTGATGATATGGCCGATTCGTTAGTCGAAGATCTTTATTCTCAATTGAAATGGTGTGTAAATCAAGGTATGATAATAACTGAGAAATACAAAATTTTTGATCGTTTATATTGAACAATTTTTTTTTCTTCTATAGATAATGAACAATTAGCTAAATCTGGAATTAATTGTCTGGAAAATTTTGTTATTGCATGTGGTCAACGTTTTACACCGCAAATTTGGGAACGAACATGCGCGTGTATCTTGGAAATATTTCGTTCTACATTACCAGAAGCGTAAGTTTTTTTGTTTAATTAATATCTACATTCTTTACTCCAGTTAAGCATTATTATGATATTCACTATATCAAATATTTTTTATTTTGTAGATTAATGACATGGCGACCAGATACTGATTCATCGACAATGACTACTATTATCGAAACAAGTGTAAGCATTTCGTTTTTATACAGTTTATTGACAATAAAGTTTTATAATTTCGACTGTTTTAGATGCTCGATCGTACATATAGTTCATTTGATCATGCAGCTGTTGAATCAGCATCTAGTCAACATAATCGATTGAAACATGGTGGTAGTGTTGCTAGTTTAAATAGTTCAACATCAACAGAAGGTGGTGAACAAGAATTACGACAACGTTATTCAAGTAGCGGTAGTAGCGAAAGAACAAGTTTGTATTTGTTATTACTTTTTGTTAATATAAAATGATGAAGATGTATTGATGATATATGTGTGTTTTTTCTTTTTTTAATTTAAGGACCAAATTCCGATTATCGTCTATTTCAAATATTAACAATTAAATGTGTTGTACAATTAGAGTTAATTCAAGCTATAGACAATATTGTATTTTATCCGTCAACAAGTAAAAAAGAAGATCTACAAAATATAGCTGTCGCACAGGTTTGTATGATCACTTTTTTACGTTATTTTTTTCTCTTTTTTTTTAAAAGAAAGTTATCGTAGCACCATGAAGAATCGATTTGTTTTCCAGAAGTTAACATGGTTTAAATGTCAGGTATTCATGCATAGTATAAATGTCGTTCGACATTGATTTATTTGCAATTGAAAGTTAGAATATTAGAAAAGATTTTTCATTATTATCATAATTTGTTTGTCTAATATTCTTTTGCATGTTTCTATTTCTATTTATTTTACACTTCATAATTGGGTTATTATTATGAGTTAAAAGGAAAAAGTGAAACTGTTTTAGTAGTTCTATTGTTCATTATCTTAGTAGAATTCTTTATTATTTTCTTGTAGATTTCTAATTCTTATAGGCATTGGCTTCATGTATACCAGGTCAACATAATCAATTTACACTTTCGGATGAATCACGTGATGATCAAGGAATGTATCAATATATGAGTATTGATCAATTGTTATTATTAGTCGATTGTCTTATCGAATCACATATTTTTGCTCGTACATTTAATTCAAATCATGAACAACGAAATTTACTGTGGAAATCTGGTTAGTTACTTAATGTTAATTATTTTTTTTTTTATTCAATTAAATAAAATTTTTGTATATAAACAGGTTATCGTGGTAAAGCAAAACCAAATTTACTCATACAAGAAACACATAGTATAGCGTGTGCATTTCGTATATTATTTCGTTTATATAATAATACATCTCGACGTGAATGTTGGGATACACTTCGACGAAGAATTATTAGGTATCTGGTATAATAATTTATAAAAAAAACCCATGAAATTATCAATGTCTATTTCTATTTTAGGCTAACACGTGATACTCTTGAATATTATTTGACATTACAATCAGAAAGTCATCGTGATGCTTGGACAAGTGTACTCCTTTTACTTTATTCTAAATTATTAAAACTCGATGATGAAAGAGTAAGTATACCACCGATGATTTCCTTTTTAAAGAGAGAGAGTCAACAATTTTGTGCAATAGAATTTTTAAAAATTAAAACAAAAAAAAAAGAAGTATTTTGTTTGATTTTTCTTGCTTATGAGAATAAGTAAGTTAATGGCAAATGATGGTCAACAAAGTCTTGTTTTGGTTTACAGAACAAAATAAGAGTTGAGAATTTTAAAATTTTTTAGTCAAAACTGTCTCGAATCATTTTGTCTATAAAAAAAAATCTAGACATGAGAAAAAGTTCATCAATAGAAAAACCTATTTATGATCTAGAGGTAGTATGAAATATATTTTTAAAGGAACAGTTTAAAAATTAAATATGAATTTTACTTATAATATTCTTTTAGTTCAAATTTTATGGATCCGATATTTATTTACTTGTATCGGAAGTAATTGTATTTGATTTGAAACCCGAATTACGTTATATGACTCGTGAATTTTTATTTCGTATTGGAAACATTTTCAACATCAATAATACATCATCAAGACAACTACAAATAGCGTGAAACAATAAATTTTATTTTTTTTTATAATTTTCTTTCTCAACATATTTCTTCACACATTCCGGTAAGCGCGTACAGATTGATTTCAATTGATATTTTTCCATAGATCTTCTTTCTTTGTCTCTCTATGAAAATTGTGTAAAAAAACATGTTCTTCGTACACACACACACATACACATACATGCATACACACACGCACTAATTTCATAGTTTTTATCTGTTGTTTTTCATTTTTTTAATTTGTTATTATTTATTTCGATACACAGTCTTTAGGCAAATATTTTTATCTTCTGTTTTCTGTTGTTGTTTTTTCTATATTTTTCTCATCATTGTATAATTATATAAAAATATGTGATTTAATTGTTGTTATTGTCGTTATAGTTCTTTCTTTCTCTTCATTTTTACGCTCTCAGTTTTGAGTTCAAGATTAACTTTTTGTTGTTTTGTGTTCAAAATATATATATTATTATTAATTTTCAAACGTTTACTATTTTGTATAAATTTTATTTTTTTGTTCTATATATATATATCTTTATATATAAATGCATCACACAAAGACATCGCACATACGGACACCGCACACACACACACACACACACACACACACTTCTATATTTGATTTATTTATATAAACTAAAACTAACAGAAATAAAATACAATAAATAAAATGTTTTGTTCTCTATTAATATAATATTATAGATATTTATTTGTATTTAATATGATCTGTATTTCATCATTTGAAATGCTAAACAGTAAGTCAAAATTCAATTTATCTCATATTTATTAAATACGAAAATTTTCAAATTTTAATTATATGCGTTATCAGAATGAGTAGTCACGATAAAATGTGATAGTACAATGACAAACAATCAGTCAACTATCATCACTCTCTAATATCTTACTTCAAAAATTGCACCTATGGTATTCTATTTGTATGTAGTTTTTAGATAACAAGAGAGATATTTTCTGGTTTGAGCTCTAAGCATTTTTATGAACAAGTAATGGAAAAAGTTTTAAATCAAAGATTTTTTTCATATAAGACACCTTTACAAAAAGTCAAAGTACACAAAAAATGCTAGAGAATAAGCATATGTCCTACTTAACTTTTCCTCGTTCCAAATAGAAAAAGGGACAAAACAATAGAGATGTCCCAAAATTATTCTTTTGACGAATTTTTAGAATAAAAATTTTTTTATATTATTTCTTCTCATTCAGTAGATTTGCTTTTTCAAAAATAAAACGCATAAATGTAATGTTTCATATTTACATAACTAAACTAAATCGACTTTTCGCTTTCTAGCATCGACGTCTTCTCTCTCTTTCTTTCGTTCTATTTTTTGTTTGAATTAATATAAGATCAGAGTACTCTCGTTCTGTTTACCGTTTGTTTGAGTTTATCTATCCTTGATTTTAATGTGCTTAATACTATTTAGCCGATCTTTTTATTGGTTTGACTATTGTTTACAAAAAAAAATTATGTTTTACTGATTTATTCTAGCAGATGACAGAAGTTGGTACCACTACAAATGAACATAACTTAGTTTAGATCTAGATAAATGTTTCGTTTATTTTTATATCTAGAAACTTGGAGTTATGAATTACAAGGATAAATTTTTTTTTCTTATATTGCATTTTTTAGCTTCTAGATCAATGTTCGGCGTCAATTCGTTTAGTGCTATTGGTGTACGATGTTTGAAACAAGTAAGTTAAGCGTTGTTTTTTGTCGATGAAACTTTCTTTTTACTCGTTGATATTTTTTTTTAGCATTTAAGACGAACATTATCCACGTCCTCATCAAGTGTACAATCAAAAAAGGTTTATACAGATATATATGAGGCTGTTCAAGACATTCCACATGGAGCCAAAGTACTTGTAGGCGGATTTGGATTATGCGGTATTCCTGAAAATTTAATACGTGCATTAATAAAAACAGCTCAGAAAGATTTGACAGTTGTCAGTAATAATTGTGGAGTTGACGATTTTGGTCTTGGATTATTATTAAGAACAAAACAGGTATTTAAAAAATTAGATATTTATACGATATTCGACTTCCTTTTTCTTTAAAGATTAAACGTATGATATCGTCATATGTAGGTGAAAATCAAGAATTTGAAAGACAATATTTAAGTAAGCACTAATTTCATTTCAATATAAATTAATATTCATGTTTATTTATAGACGGTGAACTCGAAGTTGAATTAACACCACAAGGAACACTCGCTGAAAAAATTCGAGCCGGAGGAGCAGGCATTCCCGCCTTTTTCACACCAACAGGTTTTGGTACACTTATTCAACAGGGTGGAGCTCCTATTAAATATGATGGGAGTTCAAAACGTACATCCATTGAAAGTGCTCAGAGAGAGGTAGAATAAATGGAAAAACAAATGACACAAATAAAATTTTTTTGATTTTTTTTTCATACTGCAGATTCGAATGTACAACGGTAGACCATACGTTTTAGAAGAAGCAATTACCGGTGATTATGCATTAGTAAAAGCCTTTAAAGCGGACAAATCTGGAAATCTTATTTTTCAGTAGGTAATAACATCATTTCGATTATTATTGGTTGCTTTCTCTTTTTTTTCATAGAAAAACAGCAAGAAATTTCAATGCTCCTATGTGTAAAGCAGCTAAATGCACAATAGCGGAAGTGTGTGTTTGAAACACTGAATGAGAGTGCTCATCTTCATGTTAAATTCTTCGATGTTACAGGTAGAAGAAATTGTTGAAATAGGAGATTTAAAACCCGATGAAATTCATGTGCCAAATATTTATGTACATCGTATCATAGTTGGTGAAAAATATGAAAAACGAATTGAAGTAATGTTGTCTCCGGTATAAATATTCTAAAGACAGTTTTGTCTCTTGTTTAGCGCCGAACAGTAAGAAAACGTGATGGTAAAACCGCATCACCTACATCATCTAAGAAAAAAGATGATACAACACGAGAAAGAATAATTCGTCGTGCCGCACTTGAATTTACTGATGGCATGTACGCCAATCTTGGCATTGGCATTCCGGTAAGCTGTTCGTCATTTATAAATAATATATTTTTTGTTGTAAAATATTGAAAATATTATAACAGATGTTGGCATCAAATTACATTCCGGATGGTATTGTTGTCAATTTACAAAGTGAAAATGGAATTCTTGGATTGGTAATAAAACGATTCAATAACTTCTTCATAGTTTCAACGTTTTTTTTTCCATGTTTTAGGGCCCATTTCCATACGAAGGTGAAGAGGATCCAGATTTGATAAATGCCGGCAAAGAAACAGTAACAGTTCTTCCTGGATCATCTTATTTTTCCAGTGATGAGTCATTTGCCATGATCAGAGGGTACTGTGTTAAACATATGTAGTTATTTATGAAACATTTTAACTATTTTGTATAGAGGACATATTGATCTTACCATGCTTGGAGCAATGCAGGTATCACAATACGGTGATCTAGCAAATTGGATGATTCCGGTAAATTATTAACAAGAATCTCCATCTTTTTCTAAGTTCTATCATTTTTTTTTGTTTCCATAGGGCAAACTTGTGAAGGGTACATTTTTTAAAAGTCCCTTTAAGAATAACAAAATTGAATAATTTTAATATATAGGAATGGGTGGGGCGATGGATTTAGTAGGATCTGGTCGCACAAAAGTCGTCGTTACTATGGAACATAATGCCAAAGTAAGTTTTAGTCTAGATAAAAAATGTTTTTTTAGATTTGTTTTCTTTTCTAGGATGGCTCTCCTAAAATACTCGAATCCTGTAACTTACCTTTAACAGGAAAAAGTGTTGTGGATCTCATTATAACAGAAAAGGTAAATGAGATAGCGTCTTGGTAGAATATTGTTCTTAGAGAATGTTTTCTATATTTTTGTAGTGTGTATTCGAAGTTGATCATGAAAAAGGTTTAACTTTAACGGAACTAGCTGATGGTTATACGACCGAAGATATTATAAAATTAACCGGTTGTCCAATAAATGCAAGTTTACAAGTTGCCTTAACTCTTGAAATACGAATATGTCATTAAGTTTACTTTCTATATTTCAGATCTCTGATAATGTTAAACCAATGCAACAAGTTCAAACAAAATCGTCTACAAAACAAGGTTAAAACTTCACTTAAGCTGATTTTTAACAGATAAAATTATTTTTATAGTGTTCTGTAGTTCTTTATACTAAATGGTATACGCGTTTGTTCTGATCAGTTATTTTTTTAAAATTGATTAACTATTTTTATATACACGTGTGATAGATATTTATACATTTTATACATTTTATTTGAAAAATTAAAAATGAGAGAGTTGACTAAACATATTTCAATTGTAAACATTTTAAAATACAAACGAAATTACTAAATTTTCTATATTTTTCTATCTTAGTTAAATAAATTGTAAATGTGTTCATGTAGTTCACTCAATTATAATTTTCAAAGAAATCTTAATGAAAATGGTAACGAGTCAATCACTGAAGACAAACACCACATATTAATGTCAATACCAGTTACGTTAGTCGATAATCTCAAAAACTGTCTCTGAGGAACCATTTGAAGTTCCTACGGAGATAGTAACAGAATTTCCATGGGAATTCGTAATATAGTACACCTTAATAGCTCAAAAGATGTGACTAACCTAATGAGACTCCTTGTAACCAAGATTTCATGAACAGAAATTTCAAAAAGTGTGCGTTTTCGAGATTTTGCCTACAGTATAGAGATGTGCAACCCGACCCGCCCCAAAGGTTGGGTATGGGTACAGGTTCTATTTTTCCCATTTACCTGAAAACCGGAAGGTTTTAGCGAAAGAACCACAAAATTTTAGTGAAACGATACAGGATTTTAGCTAAAATACATGAAGGTTTAAAAAAGAATTATTTGAAATGTCTGAACGTTCATTTTGGAGCGGAAATGTGAGCGTAGAAGTTGTTTATCATGTTTTTTTCTGTGATATAATGCTTTGCTGTCGCTAAATTTCTTAGAGTCAATCTTCAAAATTGAAAATATTGAGACGCTGCACTGAGAAGAAAAGGTGCTCAAATTTTTACACTACTTTCTCTTGTCTTCTGAGGCAAAGGATAGTGTTCAGAAAATCTTCAATACATAGAAGATAGACCCTTTCACATGCGGAATCGAATGGACGCGTCAAATATCGAAAAAAATAAAGATTTCCAGACCGATTTTCCTGAGTCCCTGAGCGCAAAATCATCCTGGGCCTTGCACAGAGTTTCGCTTCAGGAAAACTGTGGGAACCAAAGTTGTTCAAAATCAAATTTCACACCAGATGAGAAGAGAAAATTTTGAAAACACGATTTTTAAATCAAAATTTAAGAAAAATTCGACTATTTAAAAGTGTTTTGGGGTTTAAAAATCGACTTTTCAAAATTTCAAAAATTCCTCCGCTCATCCGGTGTATAATTTGATTCGGAACAACATTTGTAACGAAACTTTTGTTCGTGCTCCAGGTTTTTCGGAAATATGTTTTGCTCCGAAAGTGAATCGGTTAAGTCAAACTCCGTGAGAAAACAGTGAAGATTTTTTCCTGGGATACATCTCCATGTGCCCGAGCGGCGCAAGAATTAGCGTTCCATCTCGAAAAACAAAAATTCTACAGAAATTTTTAAAAATGGACAAAAATCACTAACTTCAAGATTTTTTTCTGAAAAAACTTGAACTCCCGAAAATGAAAAAATTTTGATTCCTAGGTTCCTAGTTGCTCTCCAAACTGAGCGTAATCTTAAGAAATATCAAGATCTTGATTTCTTAGAATATCTTAAACGTCTACGTTTTCTACCACGAGCTAACTGAAAAATATTTCAGTACGTCAAGATCTTGCTTACAAGAAGTTACAATAGGTTATGCTCACCGTGTAAGGCATCAAAAGTTACCCAAAGATCTCATAGCTATCTGCGTGTATGAACTGGCTCTAAGGGGTCAAAAGTTTTTGAGGTCTTTCAGCTCCAATACCACTCGAATCAGAATGAAAGTCCAGTCTGTCACGATGAAATGAAGGTGAAAAATCCTATTTGATCTGCGAAAGAATTGAATTGGCAATCTTCGTTTTCGAACGAAGGAAATTTCGCTGAAAGACCTCAACAACTTTCGCTTAAACTTTAGCTTAGATCTATTGTCAAAGACATACTGACAACCCCTGAGAACTTCATTGGAGATAATGGATAGGCACGTTACTACCTTTTCTAATTCTATCCTAAAATATGTAGCCACACATCATGTTTGGCTCATCAGGCTAGGTAAAATGTTGGACTTTAATATCATTTCTCAAACTACACTATTAACTGAAAATGTTTTCTACCTTATAGAAAACGACGTAGTGTAGGAGATGCTCGAGCATTTTAAACAGTTATAATATGCTATACGACTTTATAATGAATTAGAAAATCAACAATTTCTAAAAAATAGATTCTTTAAACAACATTCAACATTCCTCAAAGAGAGATGCCTCTGCCTAGAAACTTGTGCTTTTGGTTCGTGGGCTCAGAAAGTTAATATGTTAACAAGAAACTAGATTTTTTGACTAAGAAATAAACGTACTTCGTAAATCTTTTCTTGACGAAGCGCTAAAATAAATTTCAGGAATACCAAAGTTTCCTCTCGAAACAGTTTGGTTTTTGATATAAGCTATTAGTACGATTCTGCTGTTTTTTGTGCCCTTTGATACTTTTAAATCGTAATTTTATTACGATTTAAAAGTATCAAAGGTTACAAAAGGAAACAGTTTTTATTAAATAATTACTCATGATCACGGCAAAGCCTGATTACGAATCAATTTTATTTCATCTCATCGAAAAAGTGACCTGATAAAGCATAGTAGTCATCGATTTTCAGTGATAAACAAGAACGTTCTAAATCAGTAGAAATGCTGTCTCTAAATTGCAGAACGTATCAGTTACTGCCGCAAGCGAGTGACATCTCTCAACTTCAACGCAAACAACAGAATTTCAACACAGTAATTCTTAAACTAACGTTAAATGTAATTATATTTATTCAAGTCAGCCTTTAATTTATAACTTTATACCAAATTTCAAAGAAGTCAAAAGTTAATGATGGACGAGCAACAAACAGCTGATTCTTCGGCAGCAACACTTTCTCTAGCTAAAGACTACGTTTGGTTCACACAACAAATTTTCAGAGTTAACTTCGAAAGCATTCACATCTAAATCTTTAACATATCAGTAAGGTTTTGACATTTCCCCTGAAATTGTGCTGCTTCCTGGCTTCAGTACTCTCAAAGGTTGTGGCTTGCTAACAGCCAGCCGATTTTGAATTTACATTCTACAGTTGCCCTTCTGCTCATACCGCAAAATTGAGTAGAGAGTCAGATCTTTGTTTCCTCACAGAACCGCTGTTGCTGCTCTTGTCTAATGGAACCATATTATTGGTTATTGAGCTCATTCATGACTGGATTAAGTTAAAGTTAAATGATGTCCGAAACATCATTTAATTCAGAGTTAACTTTCTGACCAATCAGCGTTATTTTAGCTCATTAACTTTTGTAGTGGGGTAATACTAA